CATTTTATTTATGATTTTCGCAGTAGGTTCATTTGTGTTATACCAGACAAAAAAAGAAATGGACCAGAAAAAATTCATTTGATGAACATTTCATTTTCAAAAAAAAAAAAAAAAAAAGTATTATTTGAGTATTTTTATTAGTCATAAACATTTATTGTTAAATGTATTCCAAAGATTCTATTTATTTTATAAAAAAAAGGAACTATAATTTAATATAATAAATCATAGATGATATAATTAATCTGATTTGACCAATCGGAAAATACTTTTTTACGTATATTTTTTTAAAAACAAATTCTTTTAATAACAATAATTTGTGTAATGCTACAGTACCATTTCGAGGACTAAAGAAATTTGGTCAAACATCTTTTCGCATCCATATAAATGATTATATTATAAATAATATAGTATATCTTTAAAGTTGTTGAATAAAGTGGCCCTCCAGCTCATGTTAATGATCCGATCTTAAGCGAGAAGTTTGTTAGGATCCGGATTTTAAGACCAATATTAATAATTTAGTAGTAGCATTACAAAGTTATTTGATTTAATAAATTAAAATCATCTAAAATCGTGCTCTTGCTACTTTATAGTTAAAATATTAACGGAATCTTTTTGCATTATTTAATTGGCTAATCACAAATGGAACAGAACTGTCTTCTAGCATGCATTCCAATCACTATGCGAAATACCAACTCCAACACCATTTCTATGGTACTTTATACGTTTTTTAAATAAACATTCTTTAATATCATGTATCGAAAATAAGAAAAAAGTGGTTGATAAATCTTTGATAAATCGCTGTCTGAAATTATTCGAGAAGCATACACTGTTACGACGTACTCATAGAACGTAAAATAATCGTTCTAGGGTTTTCTATCACGCTTCCGAGATATTATTGTAACTTCAATGATGAAATCTTTAACAATTTTTTGGTGGCAAGACCTCGATAATGCGTTTTTTATATGAGGCAGAAAAGATAAAATTTCCACATATCTTATAAAAATAATTTCGGATACCGCCCCAATTTTGCCACTATTTCTTTGGTGAGCTCTATACGTTTTTTAAATTAAAATTTAGTAAAATAAAAATCCTTAATATAATGTATTTGAATAAAGTAAATAATAAAAAGTGGAGTGCATTTACGTAAATCTCTATGTCTGAAATTATTCGATAAGCATACACTGTTTACGATGAACTCGTATCATATTTAAGGGAACGTAAAAAGAATCCTCAAGGCACTATCGCAGCATTTTGGTTATGAGACAGAGAAGATAGATAAAAATTCATTTGCTACATTGGAGGCATTTTATTTTACAAAGCAAGGGTTACTTCTAGCAAGGCCGAGGATCACAAGGAGTTGAAGATCAATATCAACTTGAGACACTTTCAAGATGGTTGACAAGACCTCTTGCAAAGGCCAAATTGGGCCTGCCGGTTAAAAAAGATAGTTTGAATTACTGGATATGACTACTTGGTAGTCATTCCAAGTCTTCTTATTCAGACACCTTATAAAAGATTTGGAAGGGAATCATCCATGACTGCAAGAAGGTGCGTAATTTTTATTTACTAGGCATCTTTCCGCTGGAAAAATCTGATACAATTACAGTGTTATTTGCTGCTTCTAGCAACGCGATCTCGTGGAATATGAAAAGTCAACTTTTCAGATAGATGAAAAAAATAAGAATGGTGAAGGCCGATCTTTCCGGATCATCTAGCAAATGGCATAGCTGAGAGAATTTAGCAGCTAAATATGAAGAAAGCGTTGCAGAATAAGTATTGAACTTGTCACAATCTTGAGATTTGAGCATAATCTACTAACTATTTTTCTCATACTGCATGCTCTTAAATAGTACCACTCCTTTTTGTAACTAGCATACTAAATGGCCAGTCTGGGAAGTCATGTCAATTTTCGGATTTTTTAATTAATCATATTTATTGGTAATAATAATAATGAGATTCAACTTTAATTTTAAAAGCAATTTGATTTTAAATCATAGATTTAAATTACTTTCCAATAAATTTTTGAGTTCGAATTACGCTTATTGGTTCTAAGTTCTATCTAATTTTAGTGACATTCTTGCTAATTGTAATCTTGATTGCTGAAAATCACTTGTCATATTGAGATGTTTTAACGTTAAGATCCTATTTATTAAAAAAAAATCCTCTACTTGTTATTGGTATCAGGGGAATATAGCAAGCCTGTACATATGATTTTTTTTCATATATGTACAGTATTAGAAACCATACACGTATAGTTTTAAAGCATACATACCATACATTTCAACCCCCCCCCCCCGCAATACATACACCGTACTGTACAGGTTTGTGTAATGCCCGTATATCAGATCCAATTTTGATAAATTCAAAAACTTAGAGATTTCGGTTCTTGGATAAATTAATGAAATTAATTATTAATATTGGATCTATAACTGATAAATCAAAGTCATTAAAGTTATTACATTCAATATTTGTGTTTTTTGAATATCATTTGGATTATATAATATGCTAGCTAAATTTCAAACGGTAATAAATAACATTCTAAGAGATATAAAAGAAATTTTAATTAGTATATCTTGTTATTATCATTATTTATTCAAAAACATTTAAAGAATACTTATACCATTTATATATCAAATTAGCTTAAAAAATTAATATTATTTTTATATTATTAGATTCAAATTTAAAAGATATAAAATTAAATCAAATTCAACAAAGTTTGAAAAAATTATCAATATATCTTTATTGAAAAATATCAGATATTTAGAAAATTTTTTAATTTTTATTAAAAAATTTTTAAAAATAGTAGTACTTTTAAATAAATTTTGAAAATGAATAATAAATTTAAAATATCAGTATATATTTAAAAAAAATGATAATTACATTATACTAGTTTACTTTAATTTTAATTAACCATTTATTTTTAAATGTTGATTTTATTATAAATATTATCATAAAAAAGATTTAAAAACAAGAGCATTAATTTAATTTGTTAATTATACTTTAAATTTAACAAATAAAAAATATCATATTATAAAATAA